ACTAGGAACAAGAAGCTACTAGGTGCAGGCCATCGCTATTCGGTTGGAGGCCATTACTACTAGTAACAAGAATCTAAGTTACTAGTAGCAAAGGGAATCGCTACTAGTAGCAATGACGCTACTAGTAGCTCCTGGCCGTGCTACTAGGAACAAGAAGCTACTAGGATTTGTCTTCTACATTTTGGGAAGGATCCTCTTGAAAGGATTTTGTCCAATGGTCCATGTCGCCGGACCGTGAGCCGCTGACAGTATTGGTTCAAATTTTCTGGATAGAGGACCTACCCGTTGACTGGCAAAAGTGGTGAAGGAATTGGCAATTACATAAGTCATCGGCAAAAGTGGTGATGTGTCACCCGCACAACCGCTGCCATGGCACTGTGTAGGTGTGCTTGTGCTTCCGCATTTCCACATTTCTCCAATCCTGGAGTGGTCTTCGCACGGGCTCACTACAGAAGAAGGGAAGAGAAGATGCACCTCAAAAAAACACAAGTCACCAGTCTTCTGGAATAGACGGACGTGACCAACATATTCCTTCTTTGGCCATTGCCATCCCTGGAGTCAAACCAACTACAATGAGGGCTGTTCCTTATCCAGACAATGAGCGAAGGCACAGAAAGCAACGAGTGCTTTACCCAGCAGTGGTTACATTGGCAAACAAATACACCAGCTTGTTGGGAGTAGTTCGAAATTCAAGGGGATATTCTTCTACAAAGAACACCAAACAACAAGGCATGTTGAATCGTGTGTAGCTATGACCATTTTTTAATCGACAGGTTGACTGCTAGCAATGACCGAGGTTTGAGCTCTTGCCAAATAAAAAAAGGGCGACAAGCTAGAGTCATTCTGTGCACAAGGCCCAACATGACGAGTTTTGCCTTTTTCTCCTGCAGGATTGATTGATCATCGACGGTCATCTCATCTTTCCTTGATCCCTTTTCTGTATTCCAACTGCCATTTTGGTATTGAATCCGAAAGGAGCTGCCATTCAGGTCGCCGGCCGATCCTTCTTATGTGTGGACAAAGCTGTCAACATGGTCAACACGCAGCCGCGACCCGATGCGATGCGAATTCCACTCCTCGCCATAGGCATCTTCCAGCTCCTTGTCGCTGGCATAGTCGTACACGTCATAGCTCTGCAGGAACTCTTCGTAGGCCCTGGAAACTCGCGCAGGGGCACCCGGCAGGGGCACCGGTCGTGTCGTGTCGAGTCGAGAAGACCGATGGATCTGAGGGATTCATCACTCTATCGCCGCACTCGTTTTGGTCATTTGTTGCTGGGGAATTCACTTGCATCAAGCCATTGGGTTGTGAGTTCATTGACCTTGAGCGCATCCACTCCCAGTGAATTTTCATTCACTTCTTGCTACGTTTGTAGCGGAATACACTTGTTACTCAAAGAGTTCATTTGTGGTGACTTTGCGCATGAGTGTGTTGTAATTCCTCGCATTTTGCCCCAAAGCCTAGGCCAAATGTTGCAGGGTATTCAGCGTACACCCTAAACCGCAATAGCAAGAACAGCAGAACGACTGGAGAACATGACCTTTTAACTACGAATGGACTTGTGCTTAACTGTGAAACGCGCCTGGTGACCGGGTGACATCCTTTGAAACGCACCTTTTTACCACCGAAACCATCCTTTGGGTCTGAACGAAGAAGGCGAAGCTACTTCTACTTAGCAAACCAAGAACATCCCTAAACGTTTCGCCTTCGGGAACATCCCTTCTGGAACCTCAACGAACCACTGGTCGGAACCGGCGAACATCCCCACGAACCGCTTGTCGTGGGCATTTCGGGGCACGGTTTTCATCCACCGGGTTCGTCCAGCAGTCTGAGACATCATGGCCATGTGGAAAGGATCGTCCTCTTCCAAGCCGCTAGGTTGCTTCTAGGTTGTAGGCCATCGCTTCTAGTAACAAGAAGCTACTAGTAGCAAAGGGCATCGCTACTAGTAGCAAGGACGCTACTAGTAGCTCCTGGCCGTACTACTAGGAACAAGAAGCTACCAGGATTTGTCTTCTACATTCGGAACCTCAAAAACCGCTTTAACGTCTGTCGTGGCTCGGACATGTGAGGATGCTGGTTCAGCAGCGCACCCGTTTGGTTCCGTTCCGTTTGGTTCGCAGCCTGTGCCTTGGTCCGCCTTCCCACCCGTTTTGGCCGAGCCGCTGCTGCGGGAGCGTCAGGATGTTGTACAAGGCGAAGCCCTTCCTGCGAAGGCTAGACGAGTAGTTGGGCGCTAAGGACCCAATCCATCGGATGGCTTCGTTTGCTTGAGCCGTGGCAGGTTTAGTACAACAGAACCCAACATTTGATGAATGGGGGGGCATGGATCACTGCAAAAAGTTTTGCTGTCAAGAACTGGTTGATTCAAGTCAAATAAAACTAGAAGGAGAAGACGGAATATCGTGAGGCTCTCAAAAGCTTGAAAGCGATAGGGCTGAAAGATAGCCGCATCAGCCAAACCAGCCGGAGCCAATGAAAGCACCCATTGAGTTGGTTTGAATCCAGGGGCCCCTTCGAGTCTTGCTTCTGCCGACGATTCAGGCTGGGTTGAAGTTCATCAAACCAACACATGCGTGGAAGACCACCACCCCACCCTCCTCATATCATCCATGGATTTAAAGCTCGATCTCCAATTCAGTACGTACTTGTTTTATCTTTATGTCTTGAGGAATAACATATCCAAAGTTGACGTCTCAAATAAGTGGAGGTTCTATTTGGAGCGGAAACTGCTTGATCAACCAGCGCAAGCTTGCCAAGATTCTCATACACATCTTCCACGTCCAGGAAAAGGCCCTTGGCACTGTGAAACAGCAACATCTTTCCAATCCAAAGAATGGTTGTGCTGGATTTTCATGCTTTTTCAGATTCTCTGAAAACCTTGTGGTTTTGGTGGACTGTCTGATGCAAGATGTGTTCTGTGTCGGATGCTCCGGAAACAGAGGAAGAGTGCCCAATCAATGCCAAAATTCAAAAGAAATAATATCAGGTGTCAAATTGACAACTTGACCTCGAAAGGAATAAAAACAATCATCCATCGAAAGAAAGCCGGTAAACTTGACCTAGAGTAGCTTCTGGGCTTTGTGTAAATTTGGAGCAAGCATCCGGTCCGGTGCAACATTTTACAATTCTCAATCTCAAATGATACTTCGCTCGCACATGCACGTTCCATACCATTGTGGTACAAAGACTATAATCCATCTCACAACACATGATGTACATTTTGGTTTGTGGAGGTAAATAGATGCATATGTATATACATAGAAGGGAAAACAAACATCATAATATCTACCGCAAACCATCTACATAAGACATATGCATGTACCCCAAAACATATCATGTACATGTGACTCATGTGACATGTCCTACAATCATGCAAAAACATCTGATGGAACAAACACACATCCCCTTTTTCGTACCATTTTTCGGCCACGGGGCGGCGAGCCGGGCGGACAGTGCCAGCAGGAGCACTGGCAAGGCGCAGCAGAAGAGACCGCAGCCTCGCGAGATCGAGGCATCCGGGCGGGCGTGTTGAGGCCATCGCTGCAGTGCAAACGTTGCAGGATCCTCCGGCAGCTTCACTTCCGGCCATGGGATGACTTAAACAGCGCCTATTGAGATGCGAATAGATGATCCTGCGTCTATTGACCAGCAAACTGCGGTATGGACACGCTTTGTCGGTTCACTTTGACGTGCGCACATCTATCGTGAATAGTTGATGGTAAATCGATGATACATCATAGCCTGGGAACAGGAAGGCTCGATGGGGTTCAGATCAACTTAAACCCGTTCTAAATACCGCGACTGGTTGGTGGCTGAGCCACCCATCACCCCAGAAATGCTTGAGGATAGTCAACAGGGATGGAACATCAAACCCTCTTTCATAGGACCAGTGGATCTTGAAGGGCTTGTTTCTGTGCCCCAGTCTGTTCGGGACCCTTCTCTGTTTCTGACATCCTTGCAGTACACTCAGTACACCTTGAGGGCTGCATGCAGCCCCAGAAAGGAACTGTTCATCAAATCCCTGTCATACTTCAATCCAAAGGGACTCTGGCTGCTCGGTTGCAGTCGGATTCCAGGTGACAAGGCCATAGAACATCATGAACACTTTCACGTCCAGGCCCGCAACATCCAGTTGTCCCTGGTCCGATCCGTACGTCGGTCGACCTCGCCAGATCCTCGATTCGATTCCGATTCGCTTCGATTCCGGCCTGAACGGCGTGGCTGCGGTACCAAGGGCTTGTCGGACTGCGACATGGCCGGACTGAGAGGTGTGGCTTGGAGAGGCAAAATCCCGGCTTGGGATCCGTAGGACATCGTCGCTTTGAAATGTCTGGTCTATCGTTCTAGCCAAGATCTTTTGCGTGAACACGATTCAAATCTAACTTTTTTTGCATCCACTCATCAAACACCTCACGCAAAGCCAGTACCATCTGTGTGCACGTCTTCAACGCTTACCTGGAACAGTGACCGACTCAGTGCAAAAAATGCACCTTTAGGTGTTCTTAACTGAATATCATGAGCCTTCACGCCACTTTCAGTCTCCACATGGTTCGTGGTGTTCGGTGATGTCTATCCATGCAGCTTTTGAGCCACCGATCACGGAGGGGCAAATCAAAAGAATCAATTCTTGATAACCCCAACATCGGTTTTTGAGACATCTCTTGATGTTCTTCTTGGAGAGGAACCTCTGCTCTTTTCCGTATCTGGACGGTTCATTCGGGCAGTCATGGCCGCCCCGTCACGCCGGCCGTAGGGGGGTGTAACTCCTCGGTTGGTCCCCGGAAGCCAAGGGATTGCAAAAGGTGGAGCTCAGCCGTGGTTGCTGTATTGAAAAGGCACTCCGTGCATTCAAACATCGGGTTTTCACAAATCCGAGATCGTAAATGCACATTTCATATATGAATAGATTTGTAACCATCTCTGACACTGCAGAAACAACCACAACGATGAAAAACACCACTATGCTTTTTATATGCATATTATATATGCCTTATTCTTTTGTCCTGCCCAATGGTAGATTTCATGTGAACCAAACCTTTGGGCAAGCGTGTCTGCATTCCCTTGCCTTAAGCTCTTGAGGGATTGGTCGCGGCACGCGATCAAATATCTTCCAGCCACCAAATCTATTCTTGTTACTAGTAGCGATGGCCTCCAACCGACTTGCGATGGGCTCCAACCCAATAGCATCCTATATACAACATTCTTCCAGCCACTAAATCTATGTTCTCTCAATTAAAGTCAGCCATCAAGCAAGGCCGTGTCACTCTTTGCTTCGGCCTTGCTGATGCCACGGACTTCCCTGGCGCCAAGTCACGGTGCGGCATCGCTTTTTCTTCCATTCGTTCCTGAAGCCTTTCTACTTTGACCAAAACGAAGTGCTATAGTATTCGTTGATGCGGGGCACCAGTTTTCATTGCGATACAAGAATTTCGAAGATTTGCTGAAGCAGTAAAGCATCTATAAAAATGAAAAAAGGAGGATATGGTTTTCATCCGCCCAGAACAAGCAAGGGAACCACGCCCTGAAAGAATTTTTGCCATTCGGGCCAAAAAAGCCATGTGTGAAAGCGCTAAAATGGTTTCTTCACTTGCAAAGGATGTTTCAAAATAACTTGTGACATGACACTGATGACACCCTGCGATGCTTGGTGCCTGCGGGTCCAGCAATCACCACAGCAAGGAACGTCAGCAGCAGGAAGCCACCCGCCAGGGTCACAAACAAGGCCTGGAAAAGGCTGCATTCGGTGAGAGGTGAGGGCGATCAGGTGACTTCTTCGCTTCAAAAACAGGTTGGGAACACTAAGAGTGAACACAGAGTGTCACTTTCATGTTGTGAATTCAACAGTCAACAGTCCGTTAGCTTTTTGGTCACCCGTCACTAGAGTCGACTTCTCCCGTGCCTCTGTGAAAGGGAAGGTGGTGAGAATCAAGGCCATGTTGCAAGCCTCGTGTCAGCTGTGGAGTCTGCTCCGTAGAGGCTCCCTACGAAAGCGAGAAACTCAGGTTTCTCTTAGAGAGCCGCCGCGGGCAAGACAAAACATCATCTACCGCTCATTCTGTTGAAGAACACCACCAACCACCACCCAAACAAACCTCTCCAAATACAAAAAACATCATGATCCTGACCTGGGATCTCCTCAATAGCAGGATTCCAAGACTTGGATTTTCTTCACCTCGGCCGAGTGGAAAGCCAGGCTCGAGCGCTCGAGTCCGGGTGGCTGCGAAGCTGGTCACGCGGCCGTGAAAAGCGGAGCTTCCCCGTCTGACAGAGCGGGCGGGCTGAGCGGTGTCCCCGACACCATTCGAACGGGGACGTGAGGTGAAGTCAACGTTAGGTTGGGGGGGCAGGGGCAGGGGCCGTCAGTGGGTTCAAATCAGCTTGCCGGCTTTAAACGATTCTGACCCATCTTCCTGCAAACAGGTCGTTAAACAGAAACATCAGCGGAAACATCCTCCAATTCCGAATCCGGAAGACACCTCACGAAAGAAAGAAACATGTCCGAAGTCCAGCGCCTGCAATCCCATGAACTTGCTCCAGCCCTGAAAAGCCTTGGCAAGAGTTGTCCACTTGGCATATCTTGACATGGTCATCAGTTGCCGTGTTAAGCATCGCCATGACATGCTGAAGCTTTTCGTTTTCAGGCTTGACCCCCACAACCAAAGGCAGAATGGTCAGCAACCACTGCAAAACAACCTGGTCACCCTGTTGCCATCAGTTTCCTCTTTTTGCCACATCTCTTCCGAAGCTCAGCTTGTGAGCTCTAGGAACCACAGATTGGCTTGAAAATCCTTGGGCGAGGATTGGTTCGAAAGATAGCGATGATACTCCTCAAGTGTCCAATTGGCCCGCCGAAGGGCATCTCTTGTTCGAGTTTTGCATGCTCTTGTTCGATGTACCAAGTTGACAATGTGCTGTGGCAACAGGTTGCAGCCAGCACATTGGGCGGCCTGGTCGCTACAAATGGTGAGGTTTTGCAAATGGCTGAGGTCTGCAAATAGCTTTATAAAGACTTCTGACGGCAGTTCACCAAAAGAGTTAAAACCGAGCTCTAATCTCTCCAAGTTCTTGAGATGCGCAAACACTTCAACACGCACTTCGCGAAGCGAGTTGTACTGCAAATCGAGAGTCTTCAAATTGGCGAGGCTTGCGAACAAGGCTTCAAGAACTTCAGTAGACACTTCACCAAGGGCATTGCCCTTCAGGCTGAGATTCTGCAAATTGCCGAGGCCTGCGAACAAGTTTGCAGGGACTTCAGGGTGCAGCTGACCGAGAAAGTTGAAACCCAAATCCAGTGTCTTTACATTATGGTTGAGGCTAGCAAAGACATTTGCAAGCCCTTCAGCAGGCATTGTGCCAAGAAAGT